TTTTGAGAAACGATGTACAAATGCGCTTTACACAATTGATGTGTGTATGGATTGGGATAACAGTTGTATGAGCCCCTAATAAAATGTTAAAAAAATAATAATAAATTTTAAAAAATAAATAAATCACTCAGATTCAAAAAGAGATGGGCCAGGCACATTTACCTAGTTGGACCCAAGGACGATTGGATAGAATTGTAAATGCAGTAAGTTCATAAAATAAAATGATCATGCTTCTTTTCTGGATAATGAAGCACTCTCTCCTTCAAAATTCATTAATCTCTCAAAGAGTATTTGAAATGTCAACTGCATGTTGGAAGTAGCACAATAAATCAGCCAAGGTCAATCTTGGATGTAATCGAGGTTCCTAGAATTGACCTCAACTAAAAAAAAGAAAAGGCCTGGTGACCTGCTTCCAATACGGAAACAGACAAGAACACTCTACGGAGCGGCCCTGCTCTGGAACACGTGGGATTGTCATGGGTCAGAACCGACTTGATGGCAACAACATACAGATGTAGCTAGGAGTTTGGCTGCTCCGACTTTTTTTAGCCAAAATTACAGACTTAATGTCTGTCAAGCATTGATCCCTAAGTCAAGGACAACCTACACCCCCAAACCACATGCCCTGCCAGAGAGTTGATTCTGACTCTCAGCAAACTTATAGGTCAAAGTTGAATTGCCCCACAGGGTTTTCCAAGCTACACATCTTTCCCAAGCTATATATAGAAACAGACTGCTGCATCTTTCTCTGCAGAGCAGCTGGTCAGTTCAAACTGCCAATCCTCAACAGCCAAGCACTTAGACTAACAGAAACATGTAAGGACAGCTACCAGCAGTGTGACCTTGGCCAAGTGAGTGAGTCTCACAGAGCCTTAGCTCCCGCTTCTGTCGACTCTCCTTCAGAGATTATTAGACTGTAAAACCCTGAGTGCTGTGCTCAACAAATAAATGCCAACTATTCCTCATAGGATCAGCGTTTCAAGATGTGGTGGAAAGAACTTCTCTGGACTCTATTCTTGGCATCAATGGGTGGGAATGTGACTTAGCCTCTCTGAACCAGTGTTCTCATTTTCAACATCCAAATCCAAACACTTGACTATGTAGTTCTGTAATCTATCCTTCTCTCTGATATCACAGAGCCTGAGTGTAAAGATATCGCAGTCGCAGCATTAATTACATACCTAAAGTGATAAGGTGCAAACGTCTTTAGAAATGTATTCGAG